TTGAATTTTTAATTGAAAAATCTGAAGGCGTTGTTGCAAGAGCATCATTAGTTGAATTTTGCCAGTTCCTCTCTTTGCGCTGCAGTCTCATTTCATCTCTTTGGTTTCAACTAACCCCTCGATTTCCGTGGAATTGTTATGAGGAGTTGTCTGTATCGTTTCAATGTATCGAGTGGAATAAAGTGTTTTCAAGCATTGGAGCAAAAGAAGCTCTAAGCGGTGCAACACTTCAGCTATGGACCAGCGGAGATTCTCAGTTCCTCGTTAGAAGGAAACATCTGTCTCAGCTTCTAATTTCATCCCTTCACGACGCGGCCAGTTCGAGTGAAGTAATAAGCGATCCTCAAGCAACTTACTCTATTGATACGCATCACTATAACGACACAACTGTACAAACACTGACACCACGCTGTCTGATAAACCCAAGCATCGACAGGCAGGGTATTGGGCTGGACGTCACATCCAACTCTTGTGCGGTTTATCTCCTATTAATGTCCTTCGAGCCCCGCATTAGAAATGAGACTTTGAACCCCGCGATGCTTGATAAAACGATTGCTTCCGAACCTCCTCAATCAGAACAAGGAGCCCCATGGTCAATTGCCTCCGCCCCTTCACCCTCAACACAAGCAGCCCCATGGTCAATTGCCTCCGAACTTGAGCAAGAATCGGCCTGCAAAACCCAATTTTCATTCGATCAAGACAAAAATGTCCGCGTGAAGTTAAAGACAGAACGTCAAGTTCATCATTGGGCGGTACAAAAATCGTGCTTCAGAAATGAAGTAGCGAAAATAAGAGGAGCTTCAATTCGCCAGAAGTATCAAAAGCTGAACAGTAGGCTGGAGATACGTCGTTTGATGATGCGATTCGTCCTTCGTCAGATGAAAATTCGCCACAGTCTCTGGTTATCTGGGATCCGTACTGCAGTGATGGAGACTTAGTTAAGTCATTATTACTCGATCTTCTTGACTTGCCGCCAAACGCTGGAACTCCACAAAGTCTCCCAATAACTCAACTTCTCGCCGTCGAGGATTGGTCTTCATCTCTCAAGCGTTTATGGACCGCCAGTAAAGCTGAGATCGGTCACAATGCGCCTGCACTCGACTCTATCTCGGTGGTTGCCACGGACAATCGAAGCACTTTACATCCAGTAGAGACTCAAATGTGGAAAAATCTTTTGAGCAATGATCATCAGGAAATGGAGGCGAACGAAACACCTGAATCTCTAATGCGGGGTGTTGATTGGGACGGTTTGATCGATTCGTGCAATCCATTGTTACTCACAGACAGAACATTTTCTAAGAGAGTATCCAATTCGAATCAGATTATATTCGATGATCCAACTGCAGATGACATTTCGATCATAGGAAGTCGAATTAGATTTGGTATCTTTTCTGCAACCACTCCTGAGATCGTTAGCTCTCGTCTAGTGCGTCCCCTTGTTATCACTGAATTTCCTGGATTGCCTTCTCTTTTAAAATCTGACGACACGTACCGGAGGAAGTTTACTGAGAATATCCAAATTTTTGATCGATTGTTGTCGAGCGGAGGCCCGTGGCTGCAAGTTCTTGCACTCGTTCGGACGAAGAAATTCATGGCAACTTCGCAGCTTCTCTGGCGAATACGGTCCCAGTGTGTGGGAATGAACGATGATATATTTTATCTGGTTGAGTGGCTTGGGGAGCACAAATCGTCGTGGAGAGGAAATTTGACGGACGTCTTGGATTCTTTTGATGAAGAATGACGCTTTTTCTGTGTCTCTTTTTCACGTTGGACATGTTGCGATAGCAATAACTTGTCTTCGCGAAGTGCCAGTTTCACAAACACAATGAGACAAAACTATTGGAGACGGAAAACAGAACAATTATTCCACCTTCTTATGGATCTGACTTGAAACCTTCAGCTTCATTTTCTTCGTCAAGTAACTCTGTGCGGCTAATGCGGTGAAAATCGTTCCTACACAAGCCCACTGAATGGGACTCACTTCATGACCGAAAATGATAACACTTAAAAGCACGGTGAAGAACTTCCGGGTAGTTGTGACGAGGGTGAGGTAAAGACTTCCGAATGCTGTTAATGAGGCGAAAATAAAGAATTGACCGAGGGAGGCAGAAAGGCAGAAGAGAAACACGTGGGGGATGATCTCGGTGTATCGAAAACAAAAGGCAATTGGTTGAAATCCTTCTAAGATGAAGCAAGCACCTGCTGCCAGGAAAAATCCGAAGATGTTTGTTAGGAACATTAAATGAGTGGAGGATATTCGGACTCGAGCCAGTAGATGATCCTGACGTGGGCCAGTGAGGGAATCACAGAAAAGCGATAATCCGAGAAGTCCCAATCCAAAAAAGGTTTGCTGAGAGGAAGAACTTGACGAGGATCGAGATAAGTTGAATAGAATGAGGGATAACGTAACAGCGAGAACAGCAATGTAGTCATGCATCGGATAGCGCTTGCCAAAAAAAACAAGTCCACCGAGGATCACTGGAACACTCTTCGCAGATTTAACAAGGACTTGAGTGGGAAAATTGACATGCGTGAGAGCGTAGTTTGTAGCCAGCATTGACGCAACGTATGTCAGTGATGTGAGTGCAATATCTTTCAGCGCTTCTCGATCCATATCAAAGACGTAGCGATCCATAAACCGAAGATTTTTCTTTGATTTTCGTTTTCCTGAAATTGTTGGAGATGTCAAAGTGTGTGGAACACCTGCATCATCGATCTCTGGTGGATTTACATCTGGATGGAGCGTTGTTTTTGACTCAACGAATAAAATCATCCAAGACATAACGACATTTCCGATACAGAGCAACGTCACAAGGAAAACTGGATATCTGAATGTATCCTTCGCTGATTTGTCGCCAACCCTATAAACTGATTCTTGGAAGTAACCAAACGCTAGAAAGAAGACATAAATTCCAACAACAAGAACTGAACCTTTTGCTGACGGAAGCAGCAATTGAAGGGTTTCGCTCAATCGTTGTGGTTTGGAGATTTCCTTCTCACTCTTTCTTGTAACCATAATATGGACCAGAACTGGAGGACCAGCTTGTGACTGGAAGCGTCTATGTGCCACTATGTCTGATTCCCCCCCAAGATCTCCAAGCAAGACTAGGAGTTTCGAACGTCAACGAAGCTCAAGTGTTCGACATCCAGTCGTCCCGCTTCTTAAAAGTCCGAGTAAAGGTGACAGATTTGGGACATACCGTTGTCCACTCCTCAAGTGTTCTCAGGTAGAGGTTCACCAAAATTTCAATCACCCCGCGGAGATGATTCTGCACGACGTCGTCAACCATCGGCTATTGATGTCCCAACATCAGTTCAGCGCATCATTCACTACTTTATCGATTCAAGCCCGCCTGGGTGTCTTCGCATTGTGGTCGGCGGTAAGCAGAGTGTGTCGTTCTACGTTTTGGATGAAACATTGTTTATCAGCTTGTCGTGAACTTCTGACGCGTGTTTTGTGGACGACAAGTAATGCAAGCTTCGCGGGTGGAATAACGGAAAAGGTTTGTGCCGGACGAGCTGAACGAGTTGCTGAGCGAGATTTCGCGGTCATTCCGTTTGCCTTTTTGACAAATGATGGGGAATTGAATGACAACAAAATCGAAATCATTAAAAAGTGGGAGCATACTGCGGTGGGTTTTATTGATTGTGTTATTTGAGAGTCCGTATAAGTGCGATGTTCTTGCAGTTTGTTATCTCGAAACCGACACGTTTACGTAAAGGACCCAATTGGTTTCTCTTTCCGGAGGGTCGACTTGGAATTCAGGTGGACTCTCTTCGACGAGTGAGTCTCTCTCAAGTTCCGCGATCAAATCTTCTTTTTCAGCGTATCCTTGACGTTATTTCTTTGACTGAAGATCTCGACTGGATCTCTTCCGTTGAGATCTCTCAACTTCATCATCCACATCGCGTCGCAGTCGATTCCCTTCTTCGTTCAGAATACCTTCCGGCACATTTTCCTCTAGCTTCTATGACAGCGCTGTCCGTTCAAATCAACGACGCCGTGGCTCTCTTTCCGACGTCGACTGCGAATGGAGCGCTTACAACGCGTTCAACTGCGCGTGGGTCATCTCCGTCCTCCGAAAGTCCATCGAGTCGGGCGTCACCGCGAACCAACGGATCTCTTCGTCCGGGACAGATTCGTCTGCAGGTCATCATTGCGGTGGAGAATTCCAGCCAAGTGAATTTCTGGTAAGGGCGGTGATGAATCGATCGCTCAGGGTTTCCACTTGCAGGGGAGGGAGTTGGAAATCTTGCTGGGAGATTGAATTTGATCCAAATGTAGAAGGATCAGCGACAATGATCGGAAAAATCAAATTTAAATCACAATATACAGAAACGGGTGCCATTTGTGTTCGTCAATCCGTCACTGTCAATCATGAGATTCGACACACTAAAGTAAGCGAAGGCAGCAGGGTAGTAGCTTCTGGTGCTAGACGGCTGAAATTCTCTATTTCTTTCTCCCTTCACCCCTTAGGATCCCGCTGCGTTTGCACGCGATGTCAGGGATGCAATTTCGGTCAGTGAGTTGCGGTTGCAAAAAGGTTTGGAGAAACTTTACCTGGCGATGCGTAAGTCCTCATATTTTTCTATTTCAGTAAATCTTCTTTGTAGATGTAGAAGTGTTGCGCACATTACGCCGCATTGCTCCTCTTGCTGGCTCTAAATTTGATTGGAGTGGCCGACTGCAATCGATGGCACGCAACATTGACGTGACGAATGCGTCCAAACAACTCAATATAGCAAGTCCCAAACAGGTCGAGAAACAACAGCCACCCACCAGCACCACCAGCCAAGATGTCCCTCCCTCTGATGTATTCAATGAATGGCTAACGTGATTTTTTGAAAGCACATAACGGTTCCCAGGAGAAAACAGACCTCAAAAGGTTCGGTTTGCTCTTACAGTTTATAGTACAGGCAAGCCAGTTAGGTCTTGAAGATTGTGAAAGATGGAGGCAAATCCGCCTGTTCCCATTTGTTCTGATAAGACAACTGTTGCTTACTTCTATGATCCTGATGTTGGTAGCTACTATTATGGCCCTGGACATCCGATGAAACCTCAGCGAGTCAGAATGACGCACTCGCTTCTAAAGGGTTACGAATTGTATCGACTAATGGATGTAAGATCAGGAATCATGTCCGCTTCATCAATTCTGCGTTTCAGGTTGTTAAGCCTCATCGGGCTTCCGAATCCGAGCTGGCGTGCTTTCATGACAATGATTATTTGAACTTTTTGTCTGTCGTCACTGCGGAAAATGCCAAAGAATTTCTTAATCATGCAAAGCGTTTCAACGTAGGGGAGCAGACGGATTGTCCTGTGTTTCCGGGCTTGTTTGAATTTCAAGTGAGAAAAAGATCTTCTGGGAGTGGTTTTCATTTATTCCTGCCAGCAATCTTGTGCCGGAGCCTCAATCGATGCCGCAGCTCGCCTCAATTCTGGAAAGGCAGATGTTTGCATCAATTGGAGTGGCGGTCTGCATCACGCAAAAAGGGCAGAAGCAAGTGGATTTTGTTACATTAACGACATCGTTTTGTGTGTTTTGGAATTGCTTAAATATCACCCTCGAGTGATGTATATCGACATAGATATCCATCATGGAGATGGAGTTGAAGAGGCGTTCTATACAACGCACCGGTAAGCATTCAGACAACTAGCTCAAATAACGAGGGTGCAGTTCATATTCTAGCAAACTCCTCCATGACTCCTCCATGTCACAGAGTGATGACAGTCTCCTTTCATAAGTTTGGTGATTTTTTTCCTGGCACTGGCGACTTGACGGATGTTGGAGCTGCCAGTGGAAAATATTACAGTGTTAACGTGCCACTCAATGACGGAATTCAAGATCAACAATTTCTTGATCTCTTCAAGCCCATTATAACGAAGGCCATCGAGGTGTATCGTCCTGGTGCGCTGGTGCTTCAGTGCGGGGCTGATTCAGTTTATGGTAAGGCTCCAATCGTACAACCATCACTATCGAATTATCACAAGAATGAAATGGAGAAAATTTCAATGACTGTCAATGCAATTTCTATTAATTCTTCGTAGGCGATCGTCTTGGGAAATTTGCGTTGTCCATTAAAGGGCACGCTGAGTGTGTCAGACATGCGCAATCTTTCAACATCCCCCTCGTCGTTTTGGGAGGGGGCGGCTATACAATCCGAAATGTCGCTAGGACATGGGCGTACGAGACTTCTGTAATAGTGAAGAAGCCGGTCCCAAACAATTTGCCATTCAACGTAAGCAGATGACGTCGTATTCCACTCTAACGTCCTCCTTCTTCGCAGGATTATTATGATTATTATGGGCCCGAGTATCTTCTTCATCTTCCAGTCCCAAATCAGCCAAATTTTAACTCGAGGGAACATCTTGAAACAATCAGAAATAGGGTGTTAGAGAATTTGTCGCGATTACAACACGCACCTGGTAGGTGGATTTATGAATTGTGATAAGTTCTATTCTGATGATCAATGTCGTGGATCCTTTTTGAATCTTCTTCCTCATTGAATCTTTCCTCAGGTGTCGAGTTCGCATACATTCCCCCAGATTTCTTCTGCTCAGCTTCACACGATCCAGACGATTTGGCGCAACTTGGAATTGACTGGGATGGAGGGGGATGTGCTGATGGAGATGAAGGAGCTATTGGTAGAAGTGCTGACGATTCAACACGAAAGACACGCGTGACAGCAGGCCTTGAATATTCAAGACCGAAAAGTGACAGATATATTCACAAGATCCGAGCGGCTGATAGAGCGAACGAATTTTACGAAATCGCTCCATCGACGGATCCAGAGGTCCGCGCGGCAGAGAGATCGGGCGACGTCGAACAAGGTGTTCCTGAGAATGACGACGTGACAAATCCAAAATATAATAATGATTGGTAGTTTGTGTAAATGATTTGATGATCAATTTGTCTGCATCAACCACCACATTATTCATTTCTTTTGTGTAATTAATTTTCTGCTGTTTGTACTTCTTGTTTGAAGAATAGCTAAAGCAAGTTACCTTCTTAAGCATTAAAACCATCAAAAGCATGAAGCAATCAAACCGACTATAACATGCCACTGTTTAATCTTGAGCGGGTATGTCAAAGTAGTTCTTGATTTCTCGCATGGGGAGATTCGCATAGATGGCGTGTGCCATATGAATTGCAGTGAGCCGCGCAATATCTGTGAAATCGGTGATCAGGGCCTTGTGAACTCGTGGAATGCTCCAATCTGGATCCACCTGTCTGTTCAGAATATTAGAATCCCGAGTTGCAACACGATGGACGTCGACCAGACGAAGTTTTGACCTCAGCTGACGTTTCAGTCGCTGAACGAGATATAATCTTCGTGTACTGCGTTTCTTCTTTTTGAAGGTAATGCCTTCAGAAGGAAGCTCAAAAGACCACTTGTTGATGTGATCTTTGATATCAGCACCATCACGAACCCGTTCTCGTAAGACGTAACAGTGGACGCTGGCAGGTGAACACATTAGGGTCGCCGTCGCATCTGACGGTTTGGCTTTTGTCGGCGATTCACCCTTCTTCACATCAACGAGACCAAACTTGCATCCAAAAAACGCAGAAAAGTAGAAATTGCATTCAATTAAATCATTGAGTTGAATTGCATCCACCTCTTGCTTGGCCAGTTTCTTCAGTGCTGGGTCGTCGATCACCCAAAAGTATCTCTCAGGGCTTCTTTTCCTTCCTCCATAGTCTGGAGCATCAGCGCAGGATGCGTTGCTGAAAGCTTCTTTGAGAATTTCTGTTGTCTTTTTTTTGTCCAACGTCTTCTCGATGTTCATATGGCATGGAATGGATCACCACGGGCAATGTAATCAGTATGAATCTTGCTAGTTGACGCATTTTGAATTCTCACTGCTAGAAGATTTGTGGCGTCATGACACGCAAATAATAATTGCTGCTAATAGCGCCTTGAAGATAATAAAAAATCAACTACGAGCAAAAGAATTCCGCAAACTAAATAGGCCGCAATTTGGAATGTTCTGTATCTGATCGGACAACATCAACCAGAGTGTGAAGCCAGCACAAAATGCTCCATAAGAGAGCAACGACATGCCTACGGGAATTTTTTTTGCCCTAAGGCACAATGTTGCTTACGATGATCCTCTTTCTTCTGCTTTTGTTAGTTCAGTTGATGCATCAGCCACATTATGAACGCTTTCCTCCATCACATCAACAACTGCGATAAAAATCAATTTTGGAGCTTGATCCATTCAAACAAATTGGTTGGCTCACCGTTCTCACACATTTCTGACTGCTCAGCCACTTTCGCCGAGAAAACCGAACCAATCAGCGCAATCTCCTCAACATGCCGGTGAAGTTGTCTAAAAAAAACAAGGAAAACAATTCAGTCAGTCACAAAATTGAGTGTCTTTCCCACCGCGCCTGCAACTCCTGTATAGTTTCAACTTCTGTTTTTAGCAGCAGTTGCTGATTTTCGGTACTGAGCTCTTGCCGAATGTCCTCAGGAACCTCAAAATCCTGAGGGGGAGAAGTGTATTTCTTTTCAACGGGTTGGAGGGTTGCGGCTTCACTCCTGGGCTCTTCACGTTTCTTCTCAATGATATTTGATAATGCAGACTCCGGACTATTGATAATTTGCATCCAGCGAGGGGGGAGGAAAGGTAGAAGAAACGCCGCTATGAGAATGACAATCAGAGGGGGGTGAGAAAAGGAAAATACTCACAAAAATCAAAAGATTCGTCGGTTGGCTTCAATAGAGGACAAGCCAAGAAAGAGGCCCGAGCTGGGAGAACAGGCTGAACGAAACAGGTTTGAAGCAACACCCGAACACGAAACGCCCACCTGTTGAGTTTTGATTCTCGGCTCGAGGTCGTGATGCTTCAGCCTGCTTGAATTTCTGTAGTGTTTACAAAGTGTCCGGTCAAATGACAGCGAATAGGACTGACTTGAGACGCAACAGAAACTCGACTATACAGGTATGCGACGACACCCCTTCTGAAAGATACCGCTGAACAGAGAAACGCAATCGGTTGCTTCATATCTACGGAAGACGTACTTCCCATTTATCTCCTATATCTGGTAGAGACCCTTCCAATTCCTCTATAGAACGCTGCATCTGGGACATCTCTTCCCTAATGAACACGAAGAAATCGATCAAGAAAGAAGATTATGCAAAGAAGATCACAAACAAGGATCATTGTCATCTTACTTCAGTTCCTGGTAAGAATTTCCTTCCCGTTCGCCGATCAGCTGTTCATTAGTTGAAGTCATAAAGCAGATAATCCAATGATCAACAACTGAAACATATTGTCTTATTCTGCCCTCCAGCAATTTGCATTGAGCGACCTGCAAAACAAACCAAATAGAAACAAGACAATCCGTCGTTGCCTACAAGCTTTTCTGAATGGCGTATGAAATCGGACAGATCATCCCCAATGCTACTGTCAGCATTCACACCAGAGACACTATGAAATTCTTGGGTTCGATCAAAATACTGTTGGAGTGTGGGCCATAGTAGGCCTTCTTGGTACAGAAAGCGACAGCTGGAACGATGGGTGTTTCATCGAACCTTGCTGCACTCAATCTGTTTGGAGTATTTTCGTCTCTATGGGAGCCAACAAAGGAAGCATTAGTCGACTTCAGCGAGGAGATGAGTGGGGGTGCGCGTCCTGGAAGCAGCGAAAAGCTTGGCCCCTCAAAACTGAGGGACGTGCTCATTTTGACACTCGACAACCTGGAGAGGGAATTCACGAAAGTGAGGAGATGAATGTGAAAAGAATCGTCTCTGATGAACATCTTCAGTTTGGGGCTGCATTGGTTTGCACCAGTCCAAGTATCACGGCATACGGGGGAACTTCTTCCTGCGTCAGCGCAATGTTTCGATGCGTTTGCCAATGTAGTAAGGAGCCTCTCTCTCGATGTTGGTTACCCATTGGTGGTTGTAGGTTCGCTGCCTTCTCGCCATTTTTACCGCGAAACGAAAGGCGCAAAAATTCATGCGACTGTTGCTAGTTACTCGATTAGACTCTTTGATGGAGGCAGTCAGAGTAAGCGGCGTGTGTTTAAGTCTCATATGGAGCTTCTATTCTTTTTTAAGGATTTGGACAAACAAACCAAGTCCACGTTGCAACTTCTTGAGGCTGGCCAACACCCCTCTACCACTCCAAATTATGGTCCGCAAGTTGGTCGAATTATAGAGAGCGTAAAGAAATTGAGGAATTTTCCAACGAGCGCTGCTGCTGGCACGAGGGTATGTCTGATGGAAACATTGGTTCTGCTGAGGGACACAAAGGCTGAGTTAGAGACAAGCGATTGCGATTCGTTCGAGGACTCCGATGAATTGGACAGCCCATCCAGACGGGAGTGAGCTTCAGTTGTTCTGTTTGTCGCTATTCTCACTTCATCAGAGAGAGAGCAGCTATCGCTGCTGCAGTAGAGGGTGCAATATTGGTGATTAAGGGTCGGTGTTACTTAGTACTCGACAGTAGTGAAGTGCTTTCATTATCTCAGATGTTATCCTTCACCTCACTCGCCATGCAATGAGCGACACGGAGCATTCAACCCTTCAACAAACGAACCTACTTGAGAAAATTGTGGGCGATACGAAGAAGGTCACAGAAATGTTTGATCTGCTCTGTACTGAGGTGAGAAAAATCCGCAAAATTGATTGTTTCAATCTGGTGCTATCAGCTGTACCTGCAAAACACTGAAGCAGCGGGAGTGGCTCTTCAAGAATTGAATCAACATTATTGCGAAAGTTTACGGAGTGATATTGATAGCGTAAGTTACCGCGAATGAGGATAGACAATGGATTTCGTTATTTTGTAGATTAACGAATTCTGGCCCGAGGGAAGTGCGAATTCGAAAGGTTTAGATGAAGCAATCGCTTCTCTTAACGCTCTCAAGATGGTCATCACAACATGAACTGCACTCAATTTTTAAAGTTGAAGCGCCTACTAACACTTCGGCACAGTAAAGAAGAGAAGCGCGACAAAAGAGAAAAATGAGTCGCAGTGCTCCTTTGAGACTCGTTAAGATCAGCTAGGGAGATCTTCGTAGTAGATTCTTCTATTTGAGGCTTTCGCGTCGCCCCACCGTCCAGGACTTCGACGGCGGTTCCTATAACTTCCAGACGACGTTCTTGAACGATCGCTGCCGTCCGCTATGATGCGGCGAATCAACGTAGTGGCGCTCTTCATGAGCTGGGGTGAAGTAAGGATGGCTCGGAGGTCCTCCGCGACTTCGAACCTCAGTCCTTCCAGAATGCAACCGTTCTGCCGCCGCTGTTCTGTCTGATACGTCACTCCCATTGTGGTCGTCGAGCAACGGTTTCATTTCCACTTGCTGACGCGTTGTATAAGCGTCTCGCGTTTCTCGAAACTTGAAGGTCTCTGCAACAGAAATAAGTGAGAAAGACACAATAATGACTTGCCTTTCTGTCCATGGTAAATTCGTAGTGCACAAGAAATCCCCACTCCTATATACAAACATGTCGTGATGACACATGCCCATCCAGCCTGTGTCTTCTGTTTTGTTGGGATGTCGAATGCTGGGGAATGGTTGAAGAGCATCAATGACCAGAGTGGCAGGATCAAGACGGCAAAAACCGATAACATCAAGCACGCCCATGCAGAACAACCTCCGCCTTGAGAAGACATTCCACTTAGAGAGTAAACGGAAGACAATGGAGATAAACTTCTACGAAAATAAAATAAGATGATGATGCCGATTGATATTCTGCTTCCTCTTCTTCTTTCTCAAAAGCAACAACATGTCACTGAGTCATCCGTAAGAAATGCGAGAGACGGGCAGACTGATTTAAAAAACGAAGACAACAAACTAATTCCGAATATTCTGATTTCTTGTTTTTCGCATTAGAACAGTTTCACTCCAAGAATCAGCGGCAGATGGTCA